CTGCAATACATACAATATGTGGAGGTCAGTGGGACTACTCATGTGTCCAGAGACATCTCTCCAAAGTGAAGACACTTATTTAAAGCAGTCTAATACCTAGATATTCTATACACCAGATTTCAGCCTAGAGTGAACAGTGAACTGTTCCACCCAGGAATACAAACCCCTGGAATTGGACTGCCAGTGGGATGGAGACAGTGTCTCACTCCACAGCACTTGATGAGAGGGCCACAATTAAAATGGCTCATCACTGTGTGCTAGAATTCTTCTGAGACTGCAAATCAGTGGAATAAATTTAATGGTTCAGTGTGGTAGTATTGTAGAGCTGGGCTTGGAAAGATATTTTAGATTTTTATCAATATTCATTGCTAACAGTGTAACATGCATGTTTGTTTGCAGTATGCCAACTCCAAGATGGGCAAAAGAATCCAGTTATCTACATATCTTGAAGCCGTTTTTCCATGGCTCTCCAATACTCCTAAGATATGACCCTTGAGAAAGTCGTATTGTGATTTCTAACTCACACACTCTTTCAATCCTGCTATGAGAACTGTAGCCCTGGCATCTTTGTGATCGGGCTACAGCCATCACTGAATTCAAAAGTCACAGTCTTTAAGACTTACATGATTTACAGTACAATACTTACATCAGAGCACTGGAGATTTTAACTCCATGGGAGCCAGGGACTATCGGAGGCTGCCAGAACTGCTGGGTACTGCAATCAGTTCTTCCAAAATGTAGAGGGTACAGGTGTGTCTGGGATGATTATGATGGAGGAAGAAGCAGGTCTGTTGGGAAAGTCATGGGGAGGAAGGAAGATGGGGCAGGTGGGGTTGGGAGCTGGCAGTGCCTCTTCCAACAGGAGCAGAACCACAGGTAAGGTTTGAGGTCAGTTTGTTTAGAGAGAGAGCCACAGATTCAGGACAGTTCTGAACTGTTTTGCCTAAGACCCCATTTAAACACAGGGCTTGACTGTGAATTTCTATTTGTCCTAGGCAGTTCCTTTTTTTTGGCCCTGTTTCAGTTCAGTGTTAATGGTTGTGTGTAAAATAATTCTACATATAGGCAGGTCATAAACCTCAGGAAAACAGGGTTTATAATAGAAGTGCCATGGAGCAGAGATCTGTTCTGTGGTACAGTATTTACATGGCCTAACATTTCCCTTTAAAACTCTTGTTTATGGAAGACCCACCCATTCTGGCTCTCAGTTGGCACCTAGGACGTCAGCAGAACGGTTGATCAGACAAACTAGTACTTCTAATGCCATTAAGCAAAATAATTTAGAGTGTAGCAGTGCAGTGTTTTTAAGCAGTGGGATCTCTGCTCGCTCATGGAACAAGTTATTTTAATTAAAGTAGTCCTAGTGGCTACTGAAAGAAAACAAGTCACTAGTTATAACTTTCAATCAAACTGACATTTGATTGGAGCTATACAACGGAGGAGGTATTTCGAAAACAAACAAAACATGCTGGCATTGAAGTACTTTCATGCTATATCAGATATGTTTAATTAAGATGTACTATAAACCTTGACATTTGCTTTGACATGTTTAGATATTTTAATCTTTTTTCTATCTCCCATGGTCACAGTCTCTCAATCTTGTTTTAGAGAGGAAGGATGGTTTTGTGGTTAAGGTATTGGACCAAGATTTAGGAGAACTAGGCTGTAAACCTGGCTCTGCCATAGAATCTATCTATCTATGTAGAATCTTGGGCAAGTCACTAAATCAATCTGTACCTTATTATACTTCTGTAAAATGAGAAAAATAATCATTCTTGTCTTCTCTATATAGATTGTAAGCTTTTTGGGACAGAAACTGTCTTTTATTAAGTGTTTATTACTTAGTGCTACTGTAACACAATTTTAAAAAAATATATAATATAACATCACATCAGTGCCATGACGAGCAGTTAAACTCTTCCTGATCATGTGCCAATAGCTGATGAAATGTTGTAGGAAACATGACTGACAGAGACAGCTTGGTTACCGTGCATGGGGTTAAATTTGACATTTGGAAGGAAAATCAGTTTCAGCAGCAAGCCAGATCAAGACATGCCTTCCATAGTTAGTGCTGCCCACTGGGTATTAATTATGTCATTGATATAGCATGACTGTTCTGCTGTAGAGAGTGATAGCTGTGTGTCACCAGGCTGTGTTTCTCCCCAGCTCCAAAGCATGTGCCGCCACACCCAGTCACTTGCAAGATTTATTGATTTACAGAGGTTAACAAACAAACAGAAAGTCTAAATTTAGCAAAGTCTAAACAGAAAAAAAATCTCAGCTTAGCCTCAGGGCCCCTTCTCCCAGGAGTGTCTGGCACACCTGTTCCTGGTAGCTTCCCAGTTTCCATCAGCTCTGCTCCCACCCTGAAGAAACTGCCCCAGTGCTACTTCTTTGAGCCCCTTGCTCTAGGGACCCACCACAGGCAATATCTTTCCCTCCCCAGGCATAGCCTTTCTCAGTCCCTCCCTCAGCTGCCCACTAGCAGTCCTGTATAGGCCCTCTATAGGTACCCCAACCCCCTTTAATTGGCTGGATTGGGCTCACCTGCTCTGGTCCAGGGGAGCTGGGTGTTGTCTATTCACAGGGACCAGCTACCCTGTGACACTGCCCCTTGTTTGAACTTCTGATGAACAAGTCATTCAGATTGGCCCCTTGACATCAAGGCTACCAAGCTTCTCCTCCTTCTCATTTGGTGAGGGATGGAGAAGGGCTGCAAAGAGCAGATGTCGAATGAAGTCATCACATATATCAGCCAACTTGCCTTAATTGTCCCAATGTGGGCTCTTATTTACCCTTATTCACCTTGACATATGTTAAGTTTCACAATAGTTCTCCTCCCTTACCCCTTATTCATGCTTTACTTAAATCATAATTCATTACCTAAATCTGCTTCACAAAACATGAGAACTTCATAAAGACCAGTAACATCATCTACTGAAAAACTAGTCACAGGAATTCAAAATAATTCCTACTTCATAAAGCAAGTGCAAGTAGTACATAGAGACATATAGAACCTTTGCAGGGTTTGAAAGAAAAAAAAATACTTATTCCAGAATACTGAAAGGTATTTGATATTTAAGAAGTTTCCACAGTTACATTGATAGCACTTTAAATTGTTTATGTCAATTTTGCTTTGCTTGACAGAAAGGAACAAATTATCTGGATAGGTTAAACTACTAGACATAATCAGACTGCTTGCAATTTCAGATGAACTGGTAGTCATGGTGGGAAATTTTTCAAAGATGTTCCTAGAAGACAAGGGCCAAGGGTTGTGTAGCTGCTGTATTCAGCCCAAGAGCCCCCTAGAAAAGTTGTTGTTGAGTCAGACAGAATTTCTCCTGAGGACTCAGATTGCCAAGCAACCCCCAGACCCCCCTGCAATGCAGCTGAGGGCAAAATCAAGACCATAATTGGGCCCATACTGCCTACGAAGGTGGAGTCTCATCCCTAAGATGAATTTCCTTCCTATAATTCTAAGTTAAAACACTAGAAACTTCAGGAGTCTTATAAAATCTGCAAGTGCAGTTTGCATAATTGTCCTTCCACCCTCAGCCATGGCTGACATTTCCAAGAGTTCAGAACAGCTCTGCTGAATGCTGCTATACCTGTTCCTGTTTCCATGGAAATGGGCATTGGCTAAAATAAGGTAAAAGCTTTGAAGTAATTACCAATACAATTAACATTTTTACCTTTTAGGAATTTTTTTTTCAGCAAACCAGTGTGACCAGCCAATTCAGACTCATCAATACAGCAATTAGTGTCTAAAGAGGCATCAGTTAACCTGATCAATGTGAAAATGACACAAGAAAGGAAAGCATTGTTAGAACTGTGGAACAGCAGAACCCTGTGGCTTTCTTTTCCCTACTTATTACTAGTAAGAAGCTCTTCTCCTTTGCTGTGATGATTCACTGTTCCAGTTTCACCCTTAATTTATGCAGTGTCAAGAGAAAGGGCACTAGAATCAAGGAGATTCCCCATGATGGCTCTATAAAGTTTGGAGAAGGAACTGAAAAAAGGAAATGGATGCCATTTCAGTAGCAAACCTGAAGATTATAGGGAGGAAGAAACCCAGACAATCTCTCCAACAGCCATACAAGATGACCCAGTCCATCTTTTTCAAGCAATAGCGTTTTGCTTATGTTGTAATTGGCTGATATATTTCATTTATCAGACTAAATCCTATCCATAATAGCATCATACAGTGATTCAATATTAAATCTATATTTGAGTGTATCGATACATGCAAGAAATACATTAATTAGTAATGTCATTCCGTAACTAAAATCACTAGTACCAGTTTTGTGACTTTTCAAATTGCAACTTTTCAAAAGATGTTCAAGTCCTCTGCTTCCCCAGCAACCTTCCATCAGGGTGACTTTAAATGAGTTTTAGTTCTCCATAGTCACACAGATGTCTTAAGCTCCTGCCCAAGAGAAGATAGGAAGGTTTTATTTCAGAATAAGAAATGCTAAAATGTAACCTATCCTTTTAAGGCTATGATCATTAAAATTAGAAATACTAAGAGTCATATCCACTCTGAGTTCAGCTAAAAAAAAAAAAAAAAAAAAAAGACAACCACCACCACAAAAAAACCAGCCAATTCTCCTCCATTTTATCAACAACAGAAATCCTGGACCTTTTTAATTGAACTCTCTGGGATTTAACTTTTCAAAAGGGAAGTTGTCATGGACACATCCCATCTGCTTAAAATACAAAGTCAAAAGTCAATAGCCAACATTAATTCACTTTTAAAGTGGAGTTCACATGTATTGATTGGAAAGGAGTTTTTTTCTGCATAATAATAGTTGTTACTCATAACAACATTAAAATATTGCGGACACAACTCTGAAAGGCTGTTGCTATAGTTATTTAGCAGAATGGAGATGACATTTCATAAATCAGGATCAGGTGATGTCCAAAACTGGGTATAGCAGTTACAGTCTCTAGTCACATACTGCACCAGACTCCCGAATAGTTATTTCTTAACTAACCCACAGACATTTCTTTCCTCCACTTTATACAACCATGGCTACTCACTCGGGGCCGCATGGGACCTTATAAACATTGACCTGCATTGGGAGCAGTGGGAGGGCAGAGCCACAGGAGGAATTGTACCTTAGAGAAGCAGAAGTCTTCCTGGAGCTCCTCATCACACTCCTGTGTCCATTTGGGGCAGCATACTCTTCCCTGTACTCCAGGAGACAGCTCTACTGATCACTGATTAGGTGGTAAAGCATGTTGGGCTCCCTCTTCCCTGTTCCCTTTGGGGTATCTTGCACCCTAGAAGATGCGAAGAGGGACATTGTGGAATGACATTGTCCCTTCCCTGGCCACTGCAGAGTGGTGCAAAGGCTGGAGGAAACCTTGCATCTTCCTGTCAAGCACTTACGGAGCAGCCATGCAGAATCTGGACTTCCACAGGCACTTGATGGAGTGTTACTATGACAATATTTAGCTAATAAAGTATCTTTCTTTTCTTTTTTTTTCATGCAGTGGGATTTCCAGGACCCCTTGGGATGGCAATTTTGTCTGTGTGAGCTAGGATGCTGCCTCTATTCTATTACTCACCTATGAAATGCAGGAAATATAATTAAATTCACAGAAAGTTGCAGTGTTCTCTCCTCTCCCATTCCAAAATGGGCCCATTTTACTCATTATTCCCTTTAGTGATGCATTTGTCAACATCAGGATGAGGTGGTCTGTCCCTAGAGATCCACCACTGTTAAGTAATCTTAGAGGAGGTGTGTGGGGATGGGCTAAGGACTTCCATTAAGGGCAAAAGATCTCTGTGGGAACACAACTCTGCTTTCAGGATTATGACACATCTAACGGGCTGGATAGCATCATTCCAACAGCAAACGCTTTGTATGGACTCAAGACATTAGCATATTTTCATGCCAAATTTCAGAAAAGACTGAAATTTTTTTTCACACAAACAGTGACATTAAGAGCCCAGCTTATGCCAATTATACATTTTAAAACACATGTTGGTGTCCTTCCTATGGGGAAGGGGAGGGGAGGAAAGAGAGTAGAGTTTCCCAATTCTTTGAGCCACTGTAGGGTCAGGAAAAAATGCTGCCCTAATGTTCTCCAACCAAAACTGGGGGACTAGCTAATGTGTCCATTAGCGCTCTATGCCCCAAATGGGTACTTACCAGGAAAGGTGTGAGAGTGACAGCATCCAGCAGCAGCAGGAGCTGGGGGAAATTGTCATGCTGCATCTTTCAAAAGGGGGTGTAGTGAATGCTGGAGATTGCCTTTTGCTTCTACAATCATAAAACTTTAAACAAGCTCAAAAGGGCTATTCCTGGCTTCAAGTGCCTCTTGGAGTTGCCGCTCTCAACCCTTGCAATGAATAGCTCTCATTCCGCAGAGAAGCTTTACCAAGGTAGCCAGTAACAACTTTAACTTTGATCCACAAGACGTATGGATAAACTCTTTTGTCCTATTACATCATTAATATACAGTAACTCCTCACTTAACGTCCTCCCACTTATTGTTGTTTCGAAGTTATGTCACTGCTCTATAAGGGAACATGCTCGTTTAAAGTTGTGCAATGCTCCCTTATAACATTTCAGAGTAACAGCCGTGTTAGTCTGTATTCGCAAAAAGAAAAGGAGTACTTGTGGCACCTTAGAGACTAACCAATTTATTTGAACATGAGCTTTCGTGAGCTGTAGCTCACAAAAGCTCATGCTCAAATAAATTGGTTAGTCTCTAAGGTGCCACAAGTACTCCTTATAATGTTGTTTGGCTGCCTGCTCTGTCCACTGCTTGTAAGATTCTGTGGAAGAGCAGCGACTTTACAAGGGAGAATTGCACAAGTTCCTCTTCTCCACCTCCTCCCCTGCCCTCCCAGCGCTTCCCTGTTCCCTTTGTGGTATCTTAAGAACATAAGAATGGCCATACTGGGTCAGACCAAAGGTCCATCCAGACCAGTATCCTGTCTACCGACAGTGGCCAATACCACGTGCCCCAGAGGGAGTGAACAGAACAGGTAATCATCAAGTGATCTATTCCCTGTCCCTCATCCCAGCTTCTGGCAAACTGAGGCTAGGGACACCATCCCTGCCCATCCGGGCTAATAGCCATTGATGGACCTATCCTCCATGAATTTATCCAGTTCTCTTTTAAACCCTGTTATAGTCCTAGCCTTCACTACCTCCTCAGGCAAGGAGTTCCACAGGTTGACTGTGCGCTGAGTGAAGAAGAACTTCCTTTTATTTGTTTTAAACCTGCTGCCCATTAATTTCATTTGGTGGCCTCTAGTTCTTATATTATGGGAACAAGTAAATAACTTTTCGTTATTCACTTTCTCCACACCACTCATGATTTTATATACCTCGATCATATCCCCCCTTAGTCTCCTCTTTTCCAAGCTGAAAAGTCCTAGCCTCTTTAATCTCTCCTCATAGGACCAGTTCCAAACCCCTAATCATTTTAGTTGCCCTTTTCTGAACCTTTTCTAATGCCAGTATATCTTTTTTGAGATGAGGGGACCATATCTGTACACAATATTCAAGATGTGGGCATACCGTGGATTTATATAAGGGCAATAAGATATTCTCCGTCTTATTCTCTATCCCTTGTGATACAGCATGGCCAGAAAGCAGCAGGAGAGTGTTTTGTTTTTTTTTTTTTCTTTTTTTGAAGCAAAAAAAAAAGGTGTTTTTATTTGTATAACACACTTACAAAACAAAAACAACAGCATATGCAATGTGTAACACAGCAACCAATCACAATTGTTTTCTCATTAGCTTCAGGGGAGGGAAGTGTTCAAGCTTGCCTGGGCCCAGGGCGGGGGCTTCCTCGACTCACGTGGTCTTCCACCCTTCTGAGTTACCTAGTGGCCCAGACCAAGGGGACTTCATCGACTCTCAAGGTCTGCCACCCCCTCAAGTTACTTGTGCCACGCCCAGTGTCACCAACAATTCCCTCCTTTGAAAGCACTCAACAAGAGGAGCAGGCTGTGGGGTAGACAAACTGGGGGGGGGGGGCACGTGCACCCACATGTGAAAGGACCCTCTCTAAGGTGGTGGTGTCCGCAGCAGCAATGGCTGGGGCCCCTTACTCTCTCCCCCAATCAAAGGGTCAGACAAAGGGAACCGGACGGGGACACCGAGCAGAGAACCCCGCACGGTGCCCGCCACTCCTCGAAAGCGTCAAGGGAGTCGGTGGACGCCGCCCAGAGGAACTCCGCCCGGATACGTGAACGGACCGAGGATCGCAAAACGGCCCCACAGTCACAGGAAACTCCATCGGCCAACCTCCCCTCTCTGGTTTTATAGATGGCCATTTTAGCCAGGGCCAGGAGGAGGTTAACTAGGAGATCCCGCAACTTTGTGAAGCAGGAGAGTGTTTTTTTTGAAGCAGAAAAGAATTTTATTTGTGTAACACTTACAAAGAATCACCAAAGAGGATAAAGCAAAACTATGCAACAAAACAAGAGCAAACAGAAGGTATAACACAGCAGCCTTCAGGAGGGAGAATTGTTCAGGCTAGCCTGGGCCCAGAGTGGGGGGGCTTCCTCGACACTCGTGGTCTTCCACCCTCCTGAGTTACCTGGTGGCCTAGAGCGGGGGGGCTTCCTCGACACTTGTGGTCTTCCACCCCCTCAAGTTACCTAGTGCCACGCCCAGTGTCACCAATTATTCCTCTCCTGAGAGTGCCCGACAAGATGGGCACGGCTGTGGGGTAGGCGGTTCGGGGGTGGGGGAGGTGTACACCCACGTGTTATAGGACCCCTCCTAGGTGACAGTAATGATGGTATCCACAGTGGCAACAGCTGGGGCTGGGGTCTCTCGCTCTTCCCCTCGATCAAAGGGTCAGACGGAGGGAACCGGACGGGGTCACCGAGCAGAGAACCCCGCACAGCGCCCGCCGCTCCTCGAAAGCGTCAAGGGAGTCAGTGGACGCCGCCCAGAGGAACTCCGCCCGGATACGTGAACGGACCGAGGATCGGAAAACAGCCCCACAGTCACAGGAAACTCCATCGGCCCTCCTCTCTCTGGTTTTATAGATGGCCGTTTTATCCAGGGCTAGGAGGAGGTTAACTAGGAGATCCCGTGACTTTGTGAAGCAGGAGAGTGTTAGAAGGGAGCCTTATTCCCTCTAGAGGGAAGAAAGTTTGCTATAAATTAATTAAAGCACCTGAAGCCAGTCACATGATAAAAACCCCTGCTTCAATCAGACAAGAGGCGGAGTTGAAGCAGAGAGCAGTCTGGAGAAGTTGAAACAGAGTGGATTGGTGTTGAAGCAGAGAGCAGTTTGGAGAGAAGCAGAGGAGAGTTTGGAGAAGTGCTGCGGTGGGCTAAGAAGACCAAGACCCTAGGTAAAGAGACACCTGGTCTGTGCAGAGGGAGGGCAGGAAGCCCCACAAGCTGAAGGGCAGGAGAGGGAAGTAGCCCAGGGGAAGGAACCGCTAGTTCTAGTGGTTTACCGCTATCCCTAGGGCCCCTGGGCTGGGACCTGGAGTAGAGGGCGGTCCCGGTCCTTCCCTCTCCACTCCTCTCCTCTAGGACACTAGTGGGGCAATTAATACCCCAGTTCAGAGGCAAGAAATGGTGCCCTGACCCTCCCCCCCAAGAAGAGAACGCGTGAGACCCATCATAGTAGTGCTGGCAATTTGCCACACCCTTTTTTAATGATTCCTAACATCCCATTTGCTTTTTTGACTGCAGCTGCACACTGTGTGGACATCGTCCGAGAACTATCCATGATGACTGCAAGATCTTTCTCCTGATTAGTTGTAGCTAAATTAGCCCCCCATCATATTGTATGTATAGTTGGGGTTATTTTTTCCAATGTGCATTACTTTACACTTATCCACATTAAATTTCATTTGCCATTTTGTTGCCCAATCACTTAGTTTTGTGAGTTTTTTTGAAGTTCTTCACAGTCTGCTTTGGTCTTACTAAACTGCTCAAGATAGTTATCATCTACAAACTTTGCCACCTCACTGTTTACCTTTTTCTCCAGATCATTTATGAGTAAGTTGAATAGGATTGGTCCTAGGACTGACCCTTGGGGAACACCTCTAGTTACCCCTCTTCATTCTGAAAATTTACCCTTTGTTCTCTGTCTTTTCACCAGCTCTCAATCCATGAAAGGATCTTCCCTCTAATCCCATGACAACTTAATTTACGAAAGAGCCTTTGGTGAGGGACCTTGTCAAAGGCTTTCTGGAAATCCAAGTCCACTAGATCCCCCTTGTTCACATGTTTGTTGATTCCCTCAAAGAACTCTAATAGATTAGTAAGACGTGATCTCCCTTTACAGAAACCATGTTGACTTTTGCGCAACAATTTATGTTCTTCTATGTGTCTGACAAATTTATTCTTTACTCTTGTTTCAGCTAATTTGCCCGGCCCCGACGTTAGACTTACCGGTCTGTAATTGCCAGGATCACCTCTAGAGCCCTTCTTAAATATTGGCATTACATTAGCTATCTTCCAGTCACTGGGTACAGTAGCTAATTTAA